AGCCCAAGAAAGTGCGACGTGCCTTAAGCTATGAGGTAAAGTACAAGATCGTCCAGGAGTTAGAAAAAGGCACGAGACAGGTGGATCTGACCAGACAATATGGAGCTGAAACTAACACATGCTGATGTGAAGGATATCATCGAGTTAGCTGAGAAAATGAAGCTCATCCTTGCCAAAGACCCAATCAATCATTGCTACGAAGTGTCTAATAACCATCTGTTGAAATGCCAGGAGCCCTATGTTCAGCTGTATAACGACCACATCAATGCTAGCCGTCAACAAAACATCGCCGAGTTCTTCACCCGCCAACCACCACAGCCAGCCCAAGTCAGTGATAGTGAGGATGTGGACTTCGAGGGGTTTGACGATGAGGCCCTGCTAGCCTCTGTGGTGGATAGAGAGACAGGTGAGGGCCAATAATCTGCCCTTTGCCTCGGAACCAACCCCCCATCCCCGTGTGCCCAACCATCTCTTCTACAAACGTAAGTGTTAAAAAACCTAATATTATTGATATTTCTCTTATATATTAATTGTGTGTGCATACCATCATAAAATTAAGATGTTAGTTTTGCTACACTGTACAGTATTGTGTCTGGCGGTCGGCCCAGTCTCTATTTCAATTAATCCCATAGGTTCTGTTATTTTATTTACGCATTTCGCTTTATATACGGACCTCCAGGGGTTTAATTAACCGCATAAAACCAGACTATACTGTATTTGTTTCATCCCCTAATGAATTAATTATACTGTTTACTATTTTCTTATTGACATTATGTTTCAGCCTTCTATTTTTACTCTTATGACTTGAGTATATCTTAAACTGGATACATTTTTATTCTTACTTTAGTATATTTCATGAGTGACACTTATTTTACCTTAAGAAGCTATTTGTCAAATTACTTGTACTTTAACACAAGTAACAAATTTTAGAACTTTGAACATCTTTGGGAATAACCTGCCAGACAGCACTGAGTGTGAGCCCATTTAACCCTATATGCCTGTTAAAATATACACCCATGAAGTCTGTTCAGTTCAGATTTGGAAAAATATTTCTTCTAAACTGTAATAAATCATTCTGGAATTTTCAGATTTTTATGGGTAGAGTCTGACTAGACCATATAGCATCAGTATTAACTGACAAAGTAAATTTGACCAATTCTGATAAATAATGGATTATTTCAGAATGTTCTGCTCTTTCCCCATTGAGTACTGTACATGCAAGCCAATTAACAAGTTTAATCTATGAGTCAGTGTGTTTATAAAAAACTACCAGTAGCTAATAAAAAAAATTTCAGACATTCCTAAACAAGTATCTTTTAAAGTTATTTTCATCAGGTCCTGAAATCAACAAACCAACTAAAAAGAATCAACAATTAAATAGTTTTGAGAATTCACTTCTTACTTGTGCATGTAATCAAAAACTTCATATTAAACGAATAATCTTTTCACCACAGGAAGAAATTGGTACGGTATAAATAAGCAGTATTGAGCTTGACTCTCATTGTGACATGTTTAATAGCCATATGGGTCAGGATGAGAAGGGTGGTGTCCAGCATAACTCTACCAAACCTCATAACATTTACAGGGGCTGATCGGGGGGGGGGGCTGTCCTGGGGGTACGGATCCCCCTCTTTTCATCAGAAAATTCCAATACTTTTTCTTTGATGCCATATTGTACTCAGGCATTTTTGTATAGTAAAAAGTAATTACTATTGACCTCAGAATATCTCTTAATATCAAGGGCTCATGGTTTCAAAACGCCCATGATATTAGTCAGATTAAAAAAAAATAATAATAATAAAAAATGGGGGGCTTACAGCACCCCCAGCTGGGTGGGCTCGCTGTGCTTGCCACGTTCCCCTACCCACAACTTCTTGGACCCCACTTTTGATATTCCTGGATCCGCCCCTACATTTATCCACGTTTTACAGTTTCTACTTTACTTTCCTTTATCCTCTTTGCCACTGATCAGCCTGTTATCCACTTGGGTGGTCAGTCATATCTATGTTATACACTGTTGGCAAGCAATGGACATGCTCTGATTCCAAAATGTACCTAAACCAGTGCCAGTGTTGGTTAGGTCTAGTCTTCAATAAGCTCACACTCATAAGAACATAAGAAAACAAGGAGTCTGCAATAGGCCGGTTGGCCTGTGCATGGCAGCTCCTGTCAAGTTACAACCACTCTCTATCGTCCATGAATCTATCTAGCCTCCTTTTAAAACTTCCCAGCATCCCAGCACTTACTACAAAGTTGCTAAGCTTGTTCCTCTCCTCTAACACCCAATTTGTGAACCAGTTTCTTCCTATCTCCCTCCTAAACCTAAACTTATCTAACTTTAAATCTGTTGCTACGAGTCCTATCCTGCTTAGATATTATAAGAACTTTATATATATCTCCTTTATTGATTCCTTTCACCCTCTTAAATATTTTTATCATATCTCCCCACACTCTTCGTCTTTCTAGGGAATGCAAGTTTAGTTTCTTTAATCTATCTTGATAGGGAAGGTTTCTAAGTCCCGGAATCATTTTTGTCACTCTTCGCTGTATTTGTGGCTTCTTGAACCTGAGATTGTTACTTCTAATAGGGCAGCCACAGGCATCCTCCTGAACTAACACTGGACCCATGGGGGTATGACTTTAGGTCTTATAAGGTCATTTAGATATCTGGATGGACCATTGCCCATCACGATCTTCAAGAGTGAGGTGCTTCCCCGTCTGGAGTGCTGTCACCCCGTCTGGTCCCCGAGGTATGCTAGAGATTGTCAATTGATTTAAAATGTCCAAAGGAGGGCCACCAGACTGGTGCCTGTTCTACAGAACCTCAGTAACCCAGAGAATTGAACGCCTGCAACTACCTAACTTATACCAGACAGGCTAGGGGCGACCTAATCGAAGTGTATAAACATCTCAGGAGGCGAACATTCGCCAGCTCCAGGTATGTACATCCAACGAATGTACATGCCTGTAGCTGGCGAATGTTCGCTTAAGGTTGAAGAAGCCACAAGTCCAGAAAACTGTGAGGGTAAACTTTTTCAGAGTGAGAATTGTAAACTCTTGGAACAATTTGCCAGTGTGTGTGTTGTGGCAGCACCAAGTGTTTGCTCATTCATGACCAGACTTGACAACACTGGAGCAGGTTCCTATATATTCAAGAGCCTGTGCAAGCCTAGTACTTGCCAACGGCGTGTAACAGACGTGACTGATCGCCCAAGCAGCTAACAAGCCGATCAGTGGCGAAGAGGAAAAAATAAAAGTAAGAGTATAATTTAAGAGGCATCCAGTAAAAACATAAAAATCTAAAAAAATAAATAAAAATACTAACAAATAAAAAGTGTATCCTCCAAACATTAATGGTGTGATTAATCAGGAGTCACTTACTTTATTTAGTAAGTTTATTCTATTTTTTATCTTGAGAAAATATTAACTATACAGTACTGTATATTTCTTTCAACAGTACAGTGGGGTCAGGATATAGAGGGTGAGCATAAAGTCTTTCCCTGATTATGAAAAATCATAACATCGAAGACCATTCTAGATAGAAACATGAATGTTGTAGCATTGTGTAGACGAATTCATATACTTTTTTTTCATGCATATTTTAAGCTGTAAAAAACTGTATGTTTGTCCCAAGCATATGTTTTGTGTAATAAATGTTTGTAATCAGGGAAAGACTTTATGCTCACCCTGTACGTATAGCAATTTTTTATAAAGATTTTTTATATCGGGACTACCAAAATAATCAGAATTTTCCAATACAGTGGGGTATGCTATAACGAATCTAATTGGTTCTAGAACCTTGTTCGTTATAGCATTCGTTCGTTATAGGATTAATCCGTTCCAGGCCCCCAAATACAACCACTTAACACTGAAAAATATAATATAAAATTGTAAAAAAGTGCATAAATATGCATCTAAACCCCTGAAATAAAGAATATCATTAATACTTGTAATAAAAAACCAATAAATTAGCAAAAAAATAAAAAAATAAATAATGTTCGTTGTAGGAGTTTCGTTCGTTATAGCATTCTCAATTTTATAGGTAAAACCGTTCGTTTTTGGAATATTCGTAGTAGGATCCGTTCGTTATAGCATACCCCACTGTACTATACTGTATAGCAATAAATCTATTTATTTTGCAAGGGAAATCGGGCAAGAAATATTTCAAATTTACCGCCATGGCAAACAAATGCGTTATTTGCTCACCAGAGGCACCAACGTGGCTGCTCACTCATGCATTTACGCTCGCTTGCACAGTCTTTTTGATTCAGCTCTTGCCACGTGCGGACGCTGCACTCTTGCTCTCCAGTCAAGGTCACCACGTACTCTACTACTGTCTACTAAGATGACCAAGCGTACTAGTGATGAGGAGGCAGGTGATGATGTTGGTGAGTTATCACATTTACATTCATTTAGGCATGTTTATTTCATATTTCCATGTGAAAAAGCAAACATATAATATGTATGAAAACATGTACTAATGTTTCATTACAGTTCTGTGTTTAGGCACGCAGTTGTCACGTGACACGGAGGACGTTGGCTGAGTCGAGTGGCGCGAGTGATGAGTCAGCAGCCGATTTTGCTGCAGATTCCGACTTCTAAGGCGAGTGTAAATGGGTTGCTAGTGATGTGAAAAGTGAGGTGAAGAGAATGAAAAGCTTATTGGCAAAAGATTTAATACTGTAACTAATATTTTTGGTTTGTTTGTTTATGTAGGTGTGGGATTGTCAAGTGAGGGTGGCAGTGTGGCATCAGCTGCCGAGTCTGGTGTTCCCGGGATGGAGGGTCAGCTGCCGAGTCTAGTGTTCCCGAGTCTGGTGTTCATTGGTGCTTTAGTTAGTAAGAAAATAAACTCATTAAGTTAAGTTTAGTCACTTTTATTGGCCTCCGGAACCTAACCCTATTTTCCTCACAGTAATTATATGCAGTCTCTCCTCGACTTACGACAACCTGGACATACGACCGTCATGGTCGTATAAAATATTTTTCACATTACGTACGTATTTTCGAGTCCCGAGATGTTTAGTCGTAATGTGACCCTGTACGACAGCGTGGGCTGGGCCGCCTCGTGGTGTACAGCATCCACGCCGTAGCCCACTCAGTTGTTGTTGTTGTTAGTGATCGCACTGTGTAATGACAAAATTTTCGTTTGTAATTCCCTTTACAATGGCTGGCATCCTTAAAAGTATGAGTTCTTGTGGTGCTGAGAAGAAAAAGAGACAGTCAATTACTTTTGAGATGAAAATGAAAATAATAATGCAATATGAAATGGAAAAACAAGCAACCATTTCACGAGACCTTGGCTTCTCTCACTCGACGATATCAACAATTTTGAAGGACAACGAATGAATTCGTGAGGTAGTGAAAGGATCAGCACCTATAAAGGGAACAATAATAACGAATAAAAGACAAGGTCCTCTTCATGAGATGGAAAAATTACTTGTGATGTGAATGGAAGATCAGCTGCAAAAACGTGTACCCTCAAGCCTGCTAACCATACAGGCTAAGGCAAGAAGCCTTTTCGAAAGCCTGAAAGAGCGAGCAGGAGATGAGTGCAACCAAAACTTCACAGCAAGTCATGGGTGGTTCCAAAGGTTTCAGAAACATTACAATTTGCACAGTGTAAAGGTGAGAAGCAGCAAGTGCTGATGTGGGTGCTGCTGAAGCCTTTAAGGAGCTAGATCGTGTCATCATGGAGGGAAATTATTTGCCTGAGCAACTATTTAATGTGGATGAAACTGGCTTATTCTGGAAGTGCATGCCAGAACGGACACACATCCACAAAGAGGAGAAAACTATGCCGGGATTCAAGGCATTCAAGGACCGAATCACACTTCTGTTGGGGGGGAATGTAGCTGGTATCATTCAGAGAACCCAAGGGCTTTTAAAAATGTCAGCAAGCACACACTGCCAGTGTTTTATAGCAGTAATAAGAAAGCCTGGATGACCCTAGCACTGTTTGAGGATTGGTTCCTAAGTTGTTTCATTCCACGAGCCAAGGAGTATTGTTGCAACAAGAGGTTGCCTTCAAGATTTTATTAATTTCAGATAATGCTCCGGGACACCCACCACACCTGGACGACCTGCACCCTGATGTTAAGGTAGTCTGCCTTCAACCTAACACTGATGTTAAGGTAGTCTGCCTTCCACCTAACACTGATGTTAAGGTAGTCTGCCTTCCACCTAACACTATCTCTATCATCCAACCCATGGATCAAGGTGCTATTGCAGCTTTTAAAGTGAATTATTTACATACGACCTTCGCTCAGGCTGTTGCTGCTACTGAACGTGAGAAAACGCTCAAGAGAGTTTGGGAAGGACTACAACATTTTGCAATGTACAAAAAACATAGCTGCAGCATGGGATGAGGTTACAGGTCAGTGCATGAATGGAATATGGAAGAAAGTCCTGAAAAGATATGTGAACAGTTTCAAAGGATATAATAAAGATGAAGTAATTTCTGAGATTAGTAACAAAAGAGTGCAGATGGGTCAACAGCTGGAGTTAGAAATTGATAATGGAGATGTTGAGCAGTTGGTGGAAAGTGTAGCAGAAGAGCTAATTAACAAGGATTTTATTGAAATGGATGCACAAAAAATTGCAGAGGAAGAGAGACAAAATGTAGAAGAAGAACCTGCACCTCCCAAAAAAGCTTTCAGTGAAATAAATGGCAGAGGCATTTGCTACAATTAATAAGGGGATGCAAATGTTTGAAGAAATGGATCAAAATGTTGAGCGTTTTGCAAAAGTTGACAGAATGATCCAAGATGCACTTGCTTGCTACAGGGAGATTTACAATGAAAAGAAAAGGCCAACTGTGCAATCAAAATTGGACATATTTTTTTAGAAGTCTCCCACTGCTGCCTCTTCACTCCCTAAAGATGATCCAATACCTTCAACAAACAAGTATGTTAGCCTGTCTGAAGAAAGCAAACTTGATGACCCACCCAGCCCTGTCTCCTCCTCTGCTTTATCCAATTAATGTAGTCTACATGCTTAATTAAAAAGTTATTGAGGCCCCGTGTGCATTATATTAAAGGTAAGTGCACAGTAACACTTTACACTGTATTCATTTTTCATTATTGATTACTTTTACTGTACCGTATTTCATTTTTTAATTTCTATGTATTATTTTCGCCTTTTTGACTTTCGAGCAATTCGACTTACGACCTGGTCGTCGGGACGGAACCCCGTCGTAAGTCGAAGAGAGTCTATATCACGATTTAGTATACTGTATAGCGAACATCCTTGGACTCTATCTCGTAATACATCCCGACCCTACTGTACTTGTTTGGAATTTAGAGCTTCAACCTGGCAACTTTAAAACTTGCAGAAAAAATAAATAGTTTATTGCTAATTTCAAAAACATTAATTTTCTAAAGCTCCAGAAGTAAAGAAAAAATCAATTATTTTCATATCTTCATTTTTAATTTGAAAATAAATGTTAGCACCAGGTAGACTTATGTTTTATGTCATGTTAATTTAATCCAACACATACAAAATATTTCCTGTTTAATTGCTGTAAAAACGTATTTATCTATGTACTACAATAAACTTAATACTATACAGTGTATTAATATATCAGAAAACTCTTAAAAAACTTTTGATTTGTCAAAGTATCCAGGAAAATAGTTAGGTCCTATAAAATCAAGAGATTATACTACTATTTTTTAAAGAAGAAATTCCTAACTTATCAATGTAATTTAGTTAACACTGAAAAATTTGTGAATGACACTGATAAGGTTGAACAGATGATGAAATTATATTTATTATTCACCTAATACTGTACTTAGTAATCAAGGCACGGATAATTATATTAAAGCCCACACCATCCTTCATTTCCACACTCTTGAAAATTGATAATGTCAAAAAAATGGTTAAAATGTGATAACATTTCCCCTAAACTCCTGCGGGAGTAGAGACCAAATCCGACTGGCCAGATCCACCAGCTGGTATAAAGCAGCGGCAGATTGATGAAGATGTAAAATAATTAGAAGTAAAATGTTGAGTCAAAAATATATATCAGAATGTTTCACTAATGACATGGCAGTGGACGCCAGGGAGTGGTGGTAATGCAGACCTCAGGCACTAAGCGGCTTCTGCCTGCAACCACTCCACAATCTTTTCTAATTTCTTATAACTGTGATCTCTCCCAGCCAAAATAACATTACTAAAAACTCCAAAAGTATTTCAATATGCCACGACAGGGATATAAATAGTGTGAGTTACTATAATTAGGTAGAATAAGGTAATAATAGTAAAGGGAAGTCATAATGCCCGCGACTGCTTCTCACATTCTAGCGGATCAGCTGATCTCAGCGCCACGGGCTCCTCAACATGTACCTCGCACATTTCACACAAGAACAAGGTGAAAACATATTCAATAACCTCACTAACCTTCCTGTATTAGGCAAGATATATTGACAGCCACAAAACAAATGACAAACACACACAACAAAGCGTTTTTATAGAGTTATTTATGAAACACTAGAGAGCGGACGCTTACCTTACTCACCCCCTAGTCACCCTACGACATTAGGGAGGCAAACAGAACAGCCAACACGAACAGCCCGTATGCCGCCCCGAAACATCTCTGTTTTAATTCCAATTACTACTTTCTACGAGCTTCCCCGATATTTTAAATTAGTTTTATATGGATTTTATTCTAAGTATTATCTTATATAGTGGTTTCTTAATTTTTAGTGAGGAAGGATTAAATAATTTGAGACTTAGAGGTCCGCGTAACAACCTTGCCTAGCGAGAGTATGGCGGGTTGAGCTGATATGCTTAGCCAGGGTTATATACATTCTTTGCATATTACATTTCTATTTAACTCTCTCCAGCACTTACTGCTTGCTTTCTTGTATTTGAGCCTTCAGTAAAATGTACTATTGCATAGGTAACTCTAAAACGTGCATAGTATCAAAACAGGACTAAAATCATCAATGTTTAAGACTGACTGTTTTACTTAATTACTCTTTTTAGTACCAGTAATAATACACATACTATCAGCAACGATTCTGATTTTTCATAGTGTGTTTACGAGACAATGGTGACTTCTCAATAATGTAATTGGTCACGTTGGCGTAGGGCAGCTTAAAACATAATTGATTGTACAGTACAGTATTCCATTCCAAATATTTTCTGTCATATATAATTAGACTAAGATTATGCGTCTTGTATCTTATGAGCATGTTGTTACTATAAGTAGTAGCAATCTGTGAATAAGGAGATGAATGTTGAAGAAGCCCTGGAGTACGTATGTCATATACTTAATAAGTGAAATACGTCAGATTGAGTTCAGAAGAAATGTCAAAGGAAAAATTCTTTTCGCAAAAATCATGTTTCCAACTCTATCGCAACTTCTTTTAGATCATGTCTGGAGTCAAAATCTTAATTATTTTATCTGATACTCCCTGCTATATTTGATTTTTAAAGTATAATTCATAGATAGCATTTCACACATATTTGGTATACCGTTAAAACTGCAACTGCTTTCCTCATTCCAGGAGTACCAATATGATGTTAGTAAACAAGCATTTTGCATGAAACGGAAGCATTTGGCGTAATAAAGTAGCTTATGAAATTACAAGGAATTTAAAGTGGTATACAATTTCATTCAACACTTCTGTACAAATCAAACTATTTCTCATTGCCAATTTAATTATCTTTCAAACAAAGAAACATTTTTATTACAGCATTCAGGCCAAGATAAAAGCCAAATTGAATAACATTCAAGATGTCTTTTCCACTAAGTAGTTACTTGTAGCTGTTTTATTACATTCTGAGTTATATATTCATAAAATACCAATATTATTTTAACGAACTCTGATAAATAGGGTTGGTACATCTGGTCCCACCATTCACACCACTCATCCTCTAAACAGAAGTGTCTTGTTCTGTCCATTAAATTATGATCATAAAGTGTGTGGACTGAATAGAAATTTCATTCTGAATTTAATTTATTTATTATATTACACATAACATTAATAAATAAATAAAAAAGTTAATATTTTTTTTAGAAGATGGAGAATAAATCAAGAATTTGTTGACTGTTATACATATCAATATTACTTTCCTGAGTTATAAGTTATGGATTGATTGATCCATTTCTATCTGGAATATATAAGTTACGGTATACTTAATACCATCCATTTCTATCCTAATCAACAACAAAATTTATAGTTACAGAACAAAGATATGTAACTCTCGAAACTAAGATT